ATTTTTGGTGTCATTTCCAAGAAATCATTGACAAATCCAGTGTGAGGAAGGCTTTCTCTTATGTTTTCTTCTGAGAGTTTTATCACCGAAGCTCTTTACATTGAGGCTCTGATCCATTTTGAATTAATTCTTTGATACTGAATATTCCTGTCTCATAATAGCCTGTGTATTTCCATTTATTTACCTTCTTTTGTATCCCTCCAAAAGTTTTATTTCATCAAAATTTTGCCTATTTTTAAAGCTTATTTTCTCTTATTATTTTTTTCTTGCTATTATAGGCAGGGTCTTTTTTTTCCAATGCAACTTCTGTTTTTTACTCATATAATGGAACAATAATTAATTTCTGTCTTGTACCAAATTTCTATATTTGTACCAAACCACCTTACCTAATTCTCTTTGTGGTAGCCATGTCTTTGGTTGATTATTTTGGGTTTCAATATAAACATTTTGAAGGTGAAAAAATTTTGAGTTATGCCAGCTCTTTAACCGGCAAAGGTAGAACTCATTGTAAGCCTCAATGAAGGAAATGACATGTGACATATAAACTCTCAGAAACTACCTCACCGCACACACTCATCGTGAAGTTACTCGAAATGCTCCAGCTGAGCGAGACGTGAATCAAAATAAAGAACTCGTAACTAGGGATGACATAGTTTAAAAACAAAGAAACAAATAAACAAAAATAACCAGCAAGCAATGAAGTAAATCAATCCTAAAGCTGCTGCCTCCCCCCGGACCAAACACTGCCATTTTCAGTTATTACATTTACTGTGAATGTCAACAAGAATTATTGAAAGAATTGTGATGTAGTGTAAAAGTAGGTAATACAAATCTGATCCAGATCTGTATTTTAAAAGAAAATGTAATTTTACAACATTTCGATTAAGAGAAGGGCTAAAATCGCAGGTTCAGAAACAATTTTTAAAAATTATATAGAAATTCTCCGGGGCGCCTGGGTGGCTCAGTTGTTCAGCATCTGCCTTCAGCTCAGGTCATGATCCCAGGGTCCTGGGATCGAGTCCCGCACCGGGCTCCCTGCTCAGCGGGAAGCCTGCTTCTTCCTCTCCCTCTGCTGCCCCCCGCCCCCGTTTGTGCTCTCTCTCTCGCTGTGTCTCTCTCTGTCAAATAAATAAAATTTTAAAAAAAATTATATAGAAATTCTAGACCCCGATCTTGGCTAGTAAAATTTTGAATCTGGATTAAAATGAATGATGTTGTCAGAAAGCCTAAATTCACAAAGTTGACACATGAAGAAGTTGAATACTTACACGATAACTTCAAAAGAAATTTAGAAAAGGAGTCTAGAAGTAACCTTGAGGAAGAGCCGAGGTCTCACTGATGGACGGCAGAGGTTGACTCCCACCTAAGCAAGAGGGTGCCATGACTCCCCTGGGTCCTAGGCTCAGAGTGTAGTGATAGATTTGCGACTTTTTAATCTGAGCAAGGCCCTTCCCTGCTCAGAGCCTTCATTTTCTTATCTGTAGAATGGGAAGGTTGCACTAGCTGGCCTCCGGGATGCTTTCCTAGTCAAACAGTCTAGTACGTGTGTGTCTTAGAATAATAGAAAGCATTACTTTTCAAGCCTGACTGCAGCAGAATCATCCAGGGAGTGTTTTATTTCTTGGCCCAGTCTCAAAGCTATCTGGAATTGGGCCATAGAATTGTTTATGCGAAGAAAGCACGCTGATAGCTAATAGATAACATTTACTGAATGCCACTGCTTTTTAAAAACATTTTTCATTAATTTACATCCTGGTTTCTCCTCAGATGGTATAAGTGTTTCTCCTCTTACGAAACATTTTCCATCAACTCACTGTGTGCAGCCTTGATCCCTAGTAGACCCCAAGAACACACCTTGCATGCCCTGTCCTTTTAGGCGATGGTCTCAAATGCAAACCAGGCTTCGACTTTTTATGGTAACATTTGGCCATAGGTGTCATCATTGTGCTTTAAAATATACTAACTACCGACTTCTAGATTGCCACCAAAATGAAAACACAGTTTAACTATTCTCACAGAGAGCCCTCAGAGACCCTCCAAGAGCCCCAGAGATTCTCCACCCTAGTTGAGGAACGTTGGATTAGCGGGGAGGCAGCTAGCCCTGCATTGGCGCACCCTCCAGTACCTAGGAACTGTGACCACACGTGAAGTGGGAACTTGAAACAGGGTAATGAAGGACAGCAAGGCATTGAATAACTACCTGGAAGTATGTTCAAAGGATATGTAAGGCTATGGAAAGGGTTTTAGAACTATGGAGGCCATCCACCCAGCTTCCCCTAATGTTAACAACTCACGTGACTTGGTACAGTTACCAAAACCACGAAATGATCATTGGTCAATACTGCTCACAAAATTGTGGACCTTATTAGGATTTTAGCCATCTTCCTCCCATTAACGTCTCCTTTTAGTTCCAGAATTCCATCCAGGATCCCACATTGTGTCTCCTTGATTTCCTCCCATCTGTGGCAGTTCCTCAGTCTTCCCTTTTATGACCTTGACATTCTGGTGAGGACTGGGCAGTTACGTTACAGAATGTTTTCTCATGATTCAGTTGTCGTTATGCATTTTTTTGGTAAGGATCCTGCAGAAGTGACCTTAGGTCCCTCTCCATGCTTCAGGGGAGATAGGATCTTGAAATGTCTCATTACTGGTAATATTACCTTTGATCATGAGATTAAGGTGGTGGTGGGTTTCTCCACTGTGAAATTATTATTTTTCCCTTGTAATCAATTAATTTCTTAGAGGAAATACTCTGAGACTATGCAAATATCCTGTCCCCTCTCAGAATTTCATCCAGAGATTTTAACATCCATACTGAGGACGGTTATTACTGTGGTGTTTGCCTAATGGTGATTTTTGTATTTTTCTCATTCTGGCCACATTTATTAATTGGTATTCTGTCATAAAGAAGATCTGTTCCTTCTTCATTTATTCTTTTCTTCAACTGTTTATGACATCAGTGTAGAATCATGGGTATTTATTTCATTCTACAAATTATAGTCCAACGCTTTCATTATTTATTTTGTCGTTAAAATTATCCTGGCTTTGGCCACTGGAAGCTCCTTCAAGCTGCTCCCATGATATCTCTGACACTCCCATCTCTTTTCAAGGAATGACTTATTTTCTGGCACTATAAGATGTTCCAGGTTCATCTTCTGTATTTCCTGCCCCGGTCCTGGAATCGGCCATTTCTCTAAGGAGCCCTGGTTCCTTTGAGTGGAGAATGGTATTTAGAAACCAAGACCTGGGCACTAGGTGTGCTCATTACTACTGGGATGTCATTTCCTGGGTCTCTCGGCAGAGCTAGAAAATATATGTATGCATTTTAATGCAAGCAGACACACATCTTTTTCACTTCGGTATGTATCTCTGTGTAAATACATTGAAAAAACTACGAGTTCATGCTGATTTCTCCAACTCCAGTCCAATAGAGTTGGTTCATTCTAGATTTCCCACATTCCTTCTTTGTAACTTCTTTCTCCAACAGTGAGAAGTTGGCTCTCATTACCTATGATATATTTACTTATTTGCTTAGTCATAACACACCCGTAAAGAAGTCTCGGGATTTTAAACACACGTCCCTATGGCAAACAGGTTTAATAATTAGAAAACAATGTTTGTATGTAGTTCTTTTTGTCTTTAGCCTTACAGTATCCAGTCAAAATACTATTTTCCAAAGTTCCTCCATTTAATTCTCTCATCCCCTATCCCTTCAATGCGGTTATGTTACTCATTTATAATGCAGTTGGGTTCCTTTGTTTTGTTTGGATTTTTGTCCCCCTGCCCCCCGCAATCCTAGTTGACTTGAGTTATTCTAATTTGGGGTATGTAAAAATCCTGGCTATGGTTCTAAGAGTCAAAGGGATACCCTAAAAATAGCCCCAAAGAAGTGTTGCCTTTCCTCCTCCCCATCTCATTCTCCTCTCCTTTTCACCCCTTTCTTACCCCAGTATCTTTAGTTTCGGGTGTATCCTTCCTGCTTTGATGGCGAGAAATTTTAAAAGTAGGTCGCAGAAGAGATTCTGCCTTGAACAGTCACATGGAGAAGAGCGGGGGCCAGAGAGGGGAGGTCAAACCACAGGGGACCATAGGAAGGAGCAGAGGGAGGAGTGATGCAGGACCAACACGGGCGGGATCAGTGCAGGACCACATGCCTTGGTGCCTCTGTGATTCCCACCTGTGGAACTAAGGCTTCAAAGCATGGGCCTGGATTATTCCAGAACAGCAGGGAAGCTGTGTGGGTGCCGGCCAGAGCCTGGAGGTATATGCTTCTCCCCCATGAGAGGTAGGCCCTCTACCCCTACCATTCCACAGTGTTTAAGAAATCCTCCAAGAAAGAAGCGCCCTTCTCTGCCCCACGTGGGGGCTGGCCCAGGACAGTCGGACCCAGGCAGACCTTCGACTAGTCCTGCGCATTTGGGAAGATGACCCTGTCTTGCATCATGGGGTCAGGTCAACATGTGAAGAGGAGGTCTCCCTCTGTGCCCTCTGCGGTCACTGCCCACCCCCCCACCCCCCAGCTCCAGGCCTCCCTGTTCTGCTCAGGGTCCCTAGTAAGGACTCACCCTTACTGGCTCAGAAGAGGAACTTGGAGATGGGGGCAAGCCCGGCTGTTGAATGTTTCCACACGACTCCACCGGTGGGTGAGGGGCATTCCCATTCCAGGCAGCAGCTGGGATTTCACAATAGACGCTCCTCTTAGAAGGTGTTCGGGGAAGCCAGGCCTTGCCTGCCAAGTGTTTGAAAAAAAGACATCATCCTTGGGGAGGGAGGGAGTGCCACCTTCTTCCCTCTTCATCTCCACCCCAAAGCCACTAGGGTTCTGCTGACAAGTCACAAGAAACGGCTGATGACTGACTCATCAAACGGAAATGAGGGTGCCAAAGGACCAGGTGGTGAGCCACGGGGCGCTGGGTTAACCCCCAGGGCAGCTCAGCTGAGCATCCCCCCGCTGGGCTCCTACCTGCCTTGGCTCCCAGGGCCCAGTGCCTTGGGCAAGTCCAGCCTCTCAGAAAAGCTTGGGGCAAACTCTAGATGGTGTCAGGATTCCCCGGGGGGTTGGGGGGAGCTGGCACGCCGGGAACCGTGCCCCGTGCCCTTGGGGCTACCTGGCCCATCTGCGGAGAAAGTCTTGATTGTCTTCAGCGAACCGCGGGGGACACTGAGGCCAGGAGATGGGAGTCTCGGGGGCCTGGGGAAGGGAAGGAGTGTGGGCCGGCAGGCGTTGGAGGGGTGCTGGGAAGGCTGCTCCCAGAAGCCCCAGGACACTGTGTCCTGACCCCTAAGGACAGCGGTGCAACAGAGGCAGTTTTGGCTGAAAACATTCATTTGCATCTTGTGTTTACAGTGGGATGCAACAGCTCAGGGTGACTCATGCCTGCCTCGTGACACAACCCAATTGTCCCTGGCAGCAGGGACTGGGCGGAGGGGACTTTAAACCCAGTCAGTGTGGTTCAGCCCTTGTTCCAGGCTAGAGATCACCCAGTTCAGCGAGTAGCGCCCTCCTGTGAGTCCTGATCCCCTCCCTGGAGGGTGGGCAGCTGGTGTAGACAGACGTGGGGGGCTCAAGATCCCTAGCAGCTGGGAAGGTAGGTCTTTTAAAGCAAGATCATGTTACAGCTAATTGAGTTTCCATTTTGGGGGGTATGAACACGAATTGGTTCTCTTTTTCTTCTGGTAACTGGCATCTTGACTGTACTGAGAGCGCACTGTAGCGGCGACTGGAGGAACCCAGACTCCCTGGGTTCCTATCCTGGCTTTGCCACCTCTTCGCTGTGTGGCCTTGGGCAAGTCGTCTAACTTCTCTGTGCCACAGATGACCCATCTCTCCATCCGCCTCCCCAAAGGTGATCCACCCATCAGCCTCCTACTGCTAACTTCCCCTCCTCCCCGCCCCCCCACCCCAGCCCTCCAGGGCCAAGTATCAGCAGAACAGCTACAGTCCAGTTTTTGTGGCTAGTTCTCACCCCTCCCCCTCCCTACAATGAAGGACTGTGAAATGAAGGACTTGAGGCAGGGGTGGGTGGGCAACATCTGAGCTCCCTCCAAGAACCCACCCTGGGACTCACGGGGAGAAATCAGCCTGCGGGGCAGAGGGTCCGTTGATGCCATCCGACCAACCATCCATGCCCCAAAGTCATCCTTTTGAAGGTGCCTGAGCTTCCAGCTTCTGCAACGGATACTGGTAGCCCTGAGTCTGGGTAGGACTAAGCTGGAGAGGGTCTTGTACTGGGGCTCCACTGGAGGCAGAAGGCTGAGGCCTCATCACAAGGGTCCGTTCCCAGGACGCACACCCATGGCAGGCGAGGCAGGGGCCGGAAAGCTTGGAATCTGCCCCGTCTGGCTCAGTGGCGTTGGACTCATTGCCTGGGCCACCCGTGGAGGAGTCCGCAGACAAAAGGCCCAAAGGTGTACTGGGAAAGTTGCCCTGGAAGGGCCCAGGGACATCTTTGGGCTGCCAGATGCCGCCCACGGAAACACCCAGCATGCACGGCCCTGAATCCCCAGTGAGAGGTTTTTCTGAGTTCAGTCTGCCACCTCAACAGCCGGGAGGTGGGGGACCTGGCCTTCTGTTCCAGTGTCTCAGTCCTTGGCAGGCTCGTCCCTGCACCCAGACTTTTGCACATGCTGCCTCTTCTTTCTGGAATGTACTTCCCCTCACTTCTCGATTCCTCGTCCGGCTTCAAGGTCCCTTTGGGGAGGCATCCTGACGACCTAGTGTGGGCTCCCCATTTGGCCTGCCCCCAGCACCATCTGTCTTCACAGCATCACCTTCTGTGACGACTTCTTTCTTGGTCTATTGAACTGTTCAGTGTTAATGTCTGACGCCAAGGAGCACGGCCCAGCGGGGACATCACTGAGGTGGGGAGACGCTGGACAGCTCACAGAGGGCTGATGGTTCCTCGGGTACGTGGTTCCTCCCGGGCTGGGGAAGTAGGAGGATTTGCCTACGTGGGGCCCCCGCGAGCCAGGGGTTCCAGTCACGCAGCTGGGTCCGCGTTCGGATTTCGCAGTTTTGCATGTCGTTTGCATGGCTCAGCTCTGAGCTCCATGCTTCTGCTTGTGGTTTCCTGGTCTGTCCCCAGTTCCACAGAGCTGGACCACTGCTTCCTCGGCTCCTCTCCAGGACCTGGCCTGACGGGCCAGCGACTGGATCTGCCTGGAAGGGGTGAATGCGGGAAAGTGGGAGTGTGCCAAAGCCTGTGGCAGGATGGGCAACATCTGAGCTCCCTCCAAGGGACTCAGTACAATCAAGAGCACGCTTGGCACATCCACTGGGGCATTCTTCCCGTGATTCTGATTTTTGCCCAGGAGTCCTCCTGCCCACTGGGGTCTGGCTTCTCTTGGGCACTCATGGGGACATTTGCCACTGCCCCTGTCCACCTCGCAGCGTCCCGCCCTGACCCTCACTGCCTGCATTGCTGTGCTGCTGGGCCGCAGTGACTGTGAGCTCCCCACCTCCGTGCTGTGCTCTGGGCACCGGAACTACGGCAGGGCTGATCGAGCTGGGCTGCGAGCGCCCATGGACTCTGCCGTCCACTCCGCTAGGCCATTTGCTCCCCCAGCCTGGGGCTCTCCCGGCTGACCGGCGTCTGTCCTCCGTGTAGGCGATGACTCAGGATGCAGCCAGGGGCCACGACGTGCACGGAGGACCGTATCCAGCATGCCCTGGAGCGCTGCCTACATGGGCTCAGCCTCAGCCGCTGCTCCACCTCCTGGTCAGGTAGGTCTGGGGGGGCAGGGGTGGGGCTGGTGGGGCCCAAGAAAGCCCTGGGGGCTACAGTGAGCACTGGAGCGCATACAGAAGCCCGCAGGTTCCGGTTCCAGGACCGTGTGTGGGACCTCCCGTGGGCCGGTGCTCGGCACAGCACCTGATGGAGAGTAGCCCGTCAGAATGTGGCAGTCTGTCTGTCCTCCCCTGACACCTTCCTCCTCCTCCTCAGGGCTGTATCTTGCTTTCTCTGCATGTGCCAGAAGCACAGCTCCTTGAAAAGGTATTGGTCCTGCTTAGAAAAACCACAGCTGCTGGGGACGCCTGGGTGGCTCAGTCATTAAGCGTCTGCCTTTGGCTCAGGTCATGATCCCAGGGTCCTGGGATCGAGCCCCGCATCAGGCTCCCTGCTCGGCGGGAAGCCTGCTTCTCCCTCTCCCACTCCCCCTGCTGTGTTCCCTCTCTTGCTGTGTCTCTCTCTATCAAATAAATAAATAAAATCTTGAAAAAAAAACAAACAACCACAGCTGCCGATTCCAAAAGAACAGCTAGGAATTTGTAGATGGCTCCCCCCAGAGTTCTGTTTAGTTGGTTTCTGGTTCCTTCCAGAACCCCATCTCCTTTTTCCCTGCAGGACAAGGGGGCATGTCAGCTGAGCTTCAGGGAGCGGGAGGCTTCCATGTTTCCCAGGACTGAGAAATGGGCTTATCTGCAGCCTGGGGCAGTTGCATCTCTGAAGACTGGTGCCTACTTGTAATAATTTCTCATGCTTCTGAGATTGTGCACCTCCCATGTCTCACTTGCCTCTCTAACTATCCCATGAGATAGGTAGCCACTGCTCCTTGAACTCACCTGGTTCCTTCCCTGGTTCCTTCCTACCTCAGGACCTTTGCACTTGCTGCCTGGAACAGCACATAGCTGGCTCCTTCTCATCCAGGTCTCAGCCCAAGTGTCACCTCCTCTGAGAGGCTTTCCTTGGTCTTTGGGATTACACAGATGTAGATTAAAACTGCCTCTCTCTGGTTGCTATCACCTCACACAAGTCGCTTAACCTCCCAGGAACCCCACCTGCCTCGGCCATAAAGTGAGAGTAGCGACAACAGGGGCCACTTCCTGAAGGGAGGATGGGAGACTCCGTGGGGCAGAGTGTATGCAAGAGCATAGCACCTTATGGGCACACAGTAGGTGCTCAGTAAATGGTAGTTTGCTTCCTGCCTAGGGTTTGACGGAGCCTAAGCATATAGAATGGAGTGTGTGTGTGGAGGGGCATCATTAAGTAAAAGAAGACAAAAATATCTGACTTTGGCCAATTTTACAAAACCCCGTGTCCACATGAAAACACTGTTAGGGTCTCCCCAACCTTGAAAGGAGCTGGTGCACCTGAAGGCGCGCGGAGCTCAAGTTCCACGAAACTCACGGCTGGTTCCCTTCCCGCCTCGCCCCTACTGCTCTGACCTCCACGCACACGCACACGCGCACACGGGCCCCCATGACCACCCCTTTAATTTCTAGGGGTTTGCCCTTGCTGACTGCAGGGAAACAGAGACCGACACAGGAAGGAAGTCTGGGGAAGTTACAGAATGACCAAGTGCTCACTCGGGCTTTCAAGAGATAAAGGCATGGACCTTACCCCTTTCCTGCGCTCCCCTGCCCCGCAGTCCTGGGAAGCCCCACGGCCAGGAGAGCCTTGCTCTTGCTTCTGTGGGGCCCGCGGGAGCCGCGGCTGTTCTCCTCCTCCTTCCAGCACTCTCTGCCTCTGCGCTCCTTCTCTGCACCTTGCAGGTTCCAGCACCCCTGTGGGAAAGCGGGGACAGGGGAGGCTGTGGAAGAACCGTAGCTTCCCGGCCCATCTCTGTGTCTCTTGCAGGACTAAGACACTTGTCTCGATGAGGCATGACAGAGATGACTGTTGATCCAGAGTTTTCTCAGACTCTTACTTTAGCAAGGAGTGCCCCCGTGCAATCCCCGCGGGGATTCCCGCTGCTCTCCAAACCTGAGCTGAACTCACCTCTCTGCCTTTCCAGCTGGCCTGTGTCTCAACTGCTGGAGCCTGCAGGAGCTGGTCAGCAGGGACCCAGGCCACTTCCTCATCCTCCTGGAGCAGATCCTGCAGAAAACCCGAGAGGTGAGCGCCGGCCGGGGACCGAAGACGCAAGGGAAAGGTCCCCACGGAGTGTCGGTTCTGGGGTGCTTGGCCCGGCGTGGGGCTTGGCAAAGGCACTGGGAACCCCTGACTTTTCTGTTCCAGCACTGCTTGTGGATTGAAGGTTTCTGACTAGAAAGGAGGGGGGAAGCTCTCCCGAATTCCTTTCCTTGAAAAGATCCATAAAAGTAGACACAGAAGAGAAAAGTGATTAAACTGAGACCCTGTCTAAGAGCAGGTCCATAATAAATAGGCTTTTATGACTAAGAAGAGGGGTGTGTTTGAGGCTCAGCTGGGCTGGTCTTCCAGAACAGCTGGGAATCCCTACAGAGGATGCTGGCTCTCGTATAAGGAATTCTTAAGTTTTTTTTCTTTTTCTTTCTTTCTTTCTTTCTTTCCCTTTCTTTCTCTTTCTTTCTTTCTTTCTTTCTTTCTAAATACATGACTGAGTTGGAGGACATGTGACTGTCTCGGCTGTCCCTGGAAAGTCTTGTTTTATCAAGACGCCCAAGGTCCCAGTTCTGGTCCCACCATTTACCTAGTGCTGTTAGACCCTGATCACAAGCAGACCAACTCAGAAAAGCTAAACCACCTTTGGGGTTTATAAACTTTATAAACGCAAATATCAACTACCTTGTAACAATAGGGGAGGACTTGTAGAACGGATGGGGCAGCAGGTGTATTGGACACGTGGTCTGTTCAGGGTAAAGAAAAGGAGAATTCTCAATTTGAGCCTGTGGAGCCCAGCACAGATGGTGGGACTTTCTCTGCATCTTCAACGCCCACGAGTTCCAGAAGGGGCTGAGACCTTTAGCATGTTGACCAAAGAATTCTAAATCACGTGCGTATGTAGTCTGGTGGGTGGGTCAAAGGGATGATGCACCGAAGAATACGTAGACCTTGGAAAAAAATATGGAAAAAATGTTGCCTCAGTTACAGTAAAACAGATGCAAATTAAAACCGTAATGAGACAGTCTTTGCCTAGCAAATTAGCAAAAAAATTATAACGAGCAATGCAGGGAAGGGTAGAGTGAACCCGTGTTTTTGTATACAAGTATGGCATATTAAAATTGGCACCATCCTTCTGGAAAGCAACTTGGCAATGAGCTTCAAAGATCAGAAATATGTTTATCGTCTTTGACCCGTTGATCCCACTTCTTGAACTCGAACCTAGAGAAGTAATCCAAATTATGGAAAAAGGTAATGTGCACAGAGTAATGTGCATTGCAAAAAGATTTAAAACAGCCGGACGATAAGATAATCTCAAATGTCCAAAATGAAGCTAATAAATGACGGAGGTCTAGCAGAAGAAATATTATGCAGGTAATAAAAAGATGGGCATTGTCCAACGGCATAAACAAATTTTAAGGTACAAAAAAATTGCATCAGTAAGATTTATTAAATGGTTTAGTGAAAATTGACTAAACATTTGGAAAAATTCAGAGTGCGTTTCCTAGCGCATACCATACAGCAGATGGCATTCTAAGTGGATTAAAGATTTACATTTACGAAAACGAAGCTTCAGAGAAAAGAAGAAAAAAGATATATGAATATTTACATGATGCTTGCATGCCAAAGCAAAAACCTATAAGGGAAAAAAACTGAACACTTCTAATATCGGGACTTCAGGGAAAAAATCTATAAAATTAAAAGATACGCAACAGGGGCACCTGGGTGGCTCAGTCGGTTAATCGTCTGCCTTTGGCTCAGGTCATGATCCCAGCGTCCTGGGATCGGGCCCCATGTTGGGTTCCCGGCTCAACAGGGAGCCCGCTTCTTCCTCCCCCCACTGCTCATGCTCTCTGTTGCTCTCTCTCTCTCTCTCAAATAAATTTAAAAATCTTAAAAAAAAATACCACAAATTAAAAAAAAAATCTTTATAACAGAAATAAAAAGGAACTGCATAACTAGGAGCGGGGGAAAAGGCGGTCTTAGAGATGATGTAGCAAAACAGAAATTCATTTGTAATAATAATAACAGGTAAGAAGCATGAGGAGTAAAAATATACACACTATGATTTACACGTTTGCAGAGGAAAATACGTAGAGGAGAAATGGTGTCAGGAGAATCGTTGCGACATCAGCTGTGGTCGCTTTTGGAGGGGGGATATTGTGAGGGCTTTTTTTTTTTTTTAACTTGTATTTCCCAAATTTTTGCCTAGTGCTTACATTACTTTTCCCCAGAAGCAAGAAAGAAAAGAAAGGACAGAACGAGAAAGCGCTGCTCCGTTCTGCACCTGTGATGAGCCTCACGCTCCTCTCCTGTCCTGTCCACAGGTCCAAGAGAAGGGCACCTATGACCTTCTCGCCCCCCTGGCCCTGCTCTTCTACTCCACTGTGCTCTGCGTAAGTTCCAGCGCCCGCCAGCAGGGGGAGGCGGGAGGGGCCCTGGAGGGGCGGCCTCACCCCTCCAGAGACAAGCCGGGACCCTTGAAACAGGTGTCAGCCCTCTGATGGCTTCCGAGCGGCCCCCGTGAGAGGCCTCCAGAACTCCATGCAGGACGCCACGGTGCCTGGCACCTCCGGGTTCCCGTGGAGGGCCTGTTCACGAGGCGTGACGCAGGTCCTGCTGAGAGATTTTCGGTCCACCCCATTCTGTACCCCAGGAGTCAGTTCCCCCGGTGTGAGCATCCCGTCTTCACCAGGCCGGTGGCACCACATGACCGCACCTACGCGGGAGCCAGTCCACTTCCAAGCATAGACCTTTGCCTCCCGTGGGGATGTATAAATAGAGGTGGTTCAGGCACTGAAGACCACTCCCCCAAGCGAGTGGTAGCAATCGCACCCTTAGGCTGACCTCCCCGGTGACAGCTTTTCAGAGAGGCGCTCTTACGTACTGGGTATTATGTGTGGTGAAATCATGGCCCTTACAGTAATTGGGCCCCCCCGGGTGCCATCTTGCCCACCCGTAACTCACTCCCAGTGGTAACTTCCGGTTCTTTCTGACCTTGTCCCGGGACGCCCTGCCGCCAGGAACAGAGTGCCTTCTGTGGCACGTTCCAGAAAGGAGCAGGGTCTGTTCGGGAATATCAGTGAGCTCTCTCTCACCCAGACCTCTCTGCTCGCTGCTCCCTTTCCATCCAGACGCCACACTTCCCACCCGATTCAGATCTCCTTCTGAAAGCAGCCAGAACCTACCACCGGTTCCTGACCTGGCCTGTTCCCTACTGCAGCATCTACCAGGAGCTGCTCACCTTCATCGATGCTGAACTCAAGGCCCCAGGTGAGTGTTGGTGTGGCAGGCGCGTGGGGCCTTCATGGTGCACAAAGGATCCGATGGCTGACAGAAGTGAACACAGGCGGTAACTCAAGGAGGAATTCTTAGGGGAAGCTGAGCAGGGGTTCAAGGCAAGGAGACCCCACTGCATGGTCTGTGCCTGTGCTCTGGCTTGCCAAAGCGTCTCCGAGACTGCCCAGGTCAGACAGAGGGGCCCCCGCAATACTGACAAGAGGCCTTTGCTTGTCCTCTTTGCCTCAGGAGCGAATGGGGAAATGCGTGTGTGGATCGATTCAGTTCTGGTCAGGGGAGTGACCGGGGCTAGGAATGGACGGGTTGATGGGCGCCATGACAGGTATGGACAAGGGCCTGGGGCCAAGTTTTCACACGTGGGGTCTGGAAAGGAGGAATTCTTGAAAAATTGCAAGTGCTCTAATAAATACGAAAATGAGGGCCCAGCAAACTGTTCTAGAGCAAGAGAAAACCTAAGTAGGTAAGATTTACTGCAAGGTGGCCTGAGAGAGTAATTCATCAATGTCAGTAGCTCAAAGAAAAAACGTCACATAAACATCCTGATAGATGCCCTTAACACATTTGATAAAAGTCAGCATCCATCCCTAATATTCAAAACTCTTCTAATATATGGATACTATTAACACGTGGCAGTATTCTTTACAGCCCACCGTGAAATGCTAGAGGCATTTCCATTTAAGTCAGTAACCTTCCTCCTTGTGCTTATGGGGATTTTGCCTAGGCAAAAAGGCAAAAATAAAGAATATTTCTTCTTCCAGAGAAGATAACATTGTAATTATGCAGAGATCAAACAATTGCTTATCTGTCAAGACTAACAGAATCACCCAAAGAACTGACAGACCTAGTAAACAGGTAGCTAATGGCATTAACCAGTAAGGGAACATAGTGATGGGGGGGAAAAAAACATCTGTAATAGCAACTAAACATATAAAAGAAGTAAGAGATATGTGAATTACCTACATAGAGAAACAAACTTAAGGGTAAATAATTTAAGAGATGTGTTGCCAGATTGAGTCAGTATTGTAGTAACAGCAGGTGTTATAGAAATAAATACAAGTATGATAAAAAAAAAATACCAACCATATCTTTTAAAATTTACCAAAATAGATAAAGTCTGTCTGAAAGAATAAATGCTCTCCAGTAACATTTACTTATGCATTTATCATGTATGTATTGATGCATTCTTACAGGAGGAGAATGGGGTATTTCCCATACTAGGTCTTTGAAGGTTGTAACCATAACTATAAGGCTATAGGTATTAAAATAGTGCACTCTTGGGGCGCCTGGGTGGCTCAGTTGGTTGGGCAACTGCCTTCAGCTCCTGCAGTCCCGGGATCGAGTCCCGCATTGGGCTCCCTGATCCCTCTGACCCTCTTCCCTCTTGTGCTCTCTGTCTCTCATTCTCTCGCTCAAATAAATAAATAAAATCTTAAAAAAATAAAAATAAAAAAAATAAAATAGTGCACTGCTGGTATAAGAATAGATAAGTTAATGGAACAACATAGAATGGCTAGAAACAGGTTAAATATATAAAGATTTGTTATATGACCAAGTGACATCCTGAAACCAGTGATGAATCAAATCGGTCATTTGATAAATGGTATCAGGACCATTGAAAGACCACTAAAACTGAGTTACAGTTCTATCTCAAAAAAAAAAAAAAGAGTTCTATCTCAAACATAAAATAAATTTCAGGTAGATTAAAAGTTGGAAGTGTGGAAAACAAGACCACGAATGTAGTAGAAGAGAAGTAGGTTACATGAACCACCTAGAGTAGAGAAGAGATACCAAACGGCTACCCCCTCCCCCAGGCAAAAATGATAAAAGATAAGGCAGACAGATTTGAGAGCATAAAATTTAAAGCTTTTATATAGCTATTCAATCATTAAAGATATAGATACAGAGGTACCGAGGGCAAAAGATGTCGAGTCACTTGCTGAGTTAAAAAGCAGGTCCCCAGAATACTATGTATATTATAAATCTCATTTTTGGGTTTTGTTTTTTTTTTTCCTCTTTTAAAATTTGTACAGGTACCAGACCCTGTTTAGTGCCCACAGCACTTAGTTCTCATCATACACATTGAACACACACAGGACCGGAGTACCAAATCTTATTCCCCAGCAATTCCTAGAACCCTAGAGAGCTCAGGACTGAAGCTGTGTGTGTAAATTCCTTTGCAGGGATTCCTGACTTCCTTCCCCAATCATCTGATTTGTCTCCTCCCAGCCAATCAGCTGAGCTGCCCTCCCCCAAACAGTCAGCCTAGCTGTCTCCTCCCAGCCAATCAGTGGGTCTGTCTTCTCCCAACAGCCGTCTGCGGTTACAAAGGCGCAGAGCCCGGCACAGGTTAGGGTTGGCGGGCCCCAAAGCCCACCTGTTCCTGGGACCTCACTGCATGGTAGAGACTTGGGTGCAAGAATTTAGAAAACCACCAGGGCGCCTGGGTGGCTCAGTTGGTTAAGCGACTGCCTTTGGCTCAGGTCATGATCCTGGAGTCCCTGGATCGAGTCCCTGGATCGAGCCCCGCATGGGGCTCCCTGCTTGGCAGGGAGTCTGCTTCGCCCTCTGACCCTATCCCCTCTCATGTGTTCTTTCTCTCTCATTCTCTCTCTCTCAAATAAATAAAATCTTAAAAAAAAAAAAAAAAAGAATTTAGGAAACCAGGAAGGCCCTGAGGAGAAGGTGCTGGATGAGGACAGGTGCTCAGGCACGTGATGAATAGACAGTTTGCCAGTCTTAACTTTGCAAGGTGCGCTAGGTGAACCAGTTCAGTTCAGGGTTAATCTCTTCCATTCCCTTCCTTCCAACTCCTCCCACAAACCAACGGATCTGCATTGCGTCTGGGCTTCTTGCTGGTGACCAGAATTCCTTTAACAAGAAGGCGAAGCTTTTCTTCCTTTCTATAATGTAGGCAGGACGGATTCAAACTGCAGATACCTTGGCAGGGCCTTCAGTGGCTAAGCAAAGATCCAAGTGACTCTTTCTTACTTTGAAATGGGTACGGGCGGGAGATGTAGGGCTGGGGGAAGCTGTCACCTGCACGCAGGAAGACCGCCTCCCAATGTCAGGTAGAAGCAGCTGGCTCTTCTCCACTGAGTGCACGCTATGCCTTGAGATATTTGGGGAGCGGGCAGCTGAGCGGGGACTCTGTTCTGGGCAGCCCAGTGAGCATGGAGGGTGGGCTGTGGAGGGTGAGGGCCTGACACTGGGACGGGGGGGTTCCAAGCCTGGGGGACAAGAGCCAGGCAGAGCAACAATGGGAGCCGTTGATGGGATGAGGGCTCTTGGACTCAGAGTAGAGGACCCCGGGAAGCCCGGTCACTCCTGCTGAGAGCCTTCCCCTCGACATTGCCCCGGGGACCGTGTGACACCTCGGATGTCCTGGTGATGGAGAAGGCCAACACCCGGGTGGAGAGACTGCCTGTGCTAGGAACTCGTCCTCTTCCAGGGAAAGCAGAACCGAAGTAGGAAATCGCGGACCCTTTCGCACATCAGTTATTTTCAAACAGTTAAGAAAAACCACCCTCACCCGGATGAACATGTAGCGAGTCCTCGTCAAAGACGCTGCGCTCGTTACCGACGGAACCGGCGAGATGGCAGAGCTGGTTTAAAGGAGGGTCTGAGAGCCTGATAGAAGTTTCTCCATAAGCCGGAGTAAGATTGCAGAATTAGATGCGAAATGAGTTAATATCGTAGAGGGGGGTCACGCCGTAACCTGTGGGGTGCGCTTTTCGACCGAACAAAAATCCCTTCAATCGTCTCACACCCATGGGTTCACCTCTCACTTCTCAGAACCTCAGCCCTCGTCGGGGGCGACTGGTAAATTAAGCTAAATTACCCTTTCCTACATGATCCCGAAGTAGGCTTGTTAGAAAGCGCCCTAGCGAGCTTCTGTTACCGCCCGGGCGAATATTTTTGCCTCTTTGCAGAGTGTCCCCATCCCCAGTTCTCCCTGCTGAGGGAGGCAGCGGGGTGGAGGCTGGAACGGAGGCCACGGAATGAGCCCTCGGAGGGGAAGCCGAGGCTGGATCACGTAGTGGTTACCAGTACTTGGTATGAGGCCGTGGTGGGGTGGCAGACCTTTATTTCATTTATAGGAGCTTTTCTTCCTCATCCGTAGAATAGCAGCATAGCAACGCCTCCCTCTCGGAGCCCCGTGAGGGTTAATGCTGGCCTCCGTGGACTTCGCGTCGCTGGTGGATTGGGCAGTGGTACCGAAGACACAGGTCCTGACAAGGGACCTGGGGAGCCGGGCCCTCCACCCGTGGAGCCTTAGGGAGCCAGTTGCCATAGCGACGAGCGAAACAGTTGATCCCGCTTTGATGTGGCTGGGTGGGCAGAGGAAGTGGGCAGGTTATCGAGCGTTCGGGCCTCCCCCTTCTTCCTGGCTCCACCCCTGTCGGGTGGCCCCCCCGCCTCTCGTCTGGGGGTGGCAGGAAGCCTCAGGTCAGTGCTGCCGGCTCCCGCCCACCACAGCCCTCTTGGGTTCAGCCCACATGTTTGTTGAGTATTTGCTCCGAGCCCCCCGCACGGCTGCGTAGACCACAGTACTTGCCTGCAAAGGACAGATCCGTAATCGTGAGGGGCGACAGTGAGCATCATCCGGGAGTCACAGGACAGTTTCCAGAGCACACGCTGATTGCTCTCCGCCCAGACCTCGGCCCCTCTGGGCAGAGGGAAAAGCAGTATTCCCCCCATTTCATGCAGGTGAAAACCGAGACTCAGGGAAGTTTAATGTGTCTTGCCCACATTATGGAGTCAGGTGTGAGAGAGGGAACGCGGGCCTTGGTATGACCTCTGCTTTGTCACTTCCTAGCTGATGACCTTGGACAGGTTATATAAGCTCTCTGAGCCTCCCTGTCAAAAGTAGGACTGTAATTTTTGATGATGCTGCTGATGTTTGCATCTCCCGTGGGCTTCCCATGCGTTGACCGCTGCTAAGGGTTGGTCTCCCCTGTCCTCAGAACACCCCTTTGGGTATATAGTTTATTCCCATCTTCCAGAGGATGAACCTGAAGCCTAGACAGGTAGGTAGCTTGGCCACGCTCACAGAGCTGACAAGAGCTCTACCCCTTGAGCCTATGTCTGTTTGATCCCCGAAAGCCATATCCTTTGACTCCAGAAACCTATTCTCACATTTGCATAAAGCTCTTTCTGCCAGGAGGCATAGGCCGGGAGTTGCGTGTGACGGGAAAACCCGGGGCTGTCCCAGCTGCCATTTTGTAAGCACGTTCCTCTCTGGGCAATCTCGGCCGCTTTTCCTTTCACTTGGTGCCTTCGACCCTTCGACCTTCTGTCGAAGCAGGTACAAACCTAGATTCGGTCACTTTGGCTCATCAACTGGTGGCAGGTGAATTCTGAATAATCTTCAGTGGCCCTAAGTTTCTCTCAGGACATTACTGACCAGAGACATTTGCATTTCATACTTTTTTTGTCTCTGATTATGGAATAAAAGGTGTAGATCCCTTGAAGGAAAGTCAAGCATCATTGAATAGCAGGTAGGGCCTTTCCTCAAAGAACGCTCTGGCACCAAATGCATAGGTTTCCCCCCCACCCCAGACAACCACGAGTCCTCCAGCTCTCCAGACACCACCTGAGTGTCCCAATACCCGGCTCGGTTCTGACACTAGCTACCCAGAGTTAACGCAGACCCCACGGGTTAAGAGCTCAGTCCCACAGACTACACCCATTTCGGATGCCATTTGCAAGTCCCACTTTGATAAGAACCCAAAGTGAGAGACGCAACTGGCAGGGAAAAACATTATAATTGAAATCTACTCCTTACCTTTCAAAGTCTTAATTATCACTGACCAAAAGTGGTCTGTCCAAAAAAAAAAAAAAAAAAAATAGAACATTTAAAAATTTGAGTATTTGATGACACAACATCAGTGAAAGAGATTTTAATGATTGAAAAACAGTAGTTAGGAGGGACATAACATCACTTCTCTGGTATTCTTGTCAAAGATTCTTGCATCACTCCAATCCTGGGGTGACATGAGACACCCCAAATCGAGGGACATTCTACGGGAACCAATCAGGACACTTGGGTCAAGATCACGGAAGACCGGGACAGACTGAGGAAGCGTTATAGGTGGAGGAGGCTAAGGAGAAATAAGTCCATGCAGTGTGGGACCCTGATAGGATCCTGGAACTGAAAGAGGACATTACGACCACATAATGTATTTCTTGTATCACGGAGTCACAGGGGGAGATGTAGGGAAAGGAGTGGGGAGCCGCTGTTCCAGAAATCACGGGGTGGGATCAGAAGTAAGCTGGCTGCCCATAACAGAAACCCCTCCCCACCCAGTATAAGGCTGGTAGAAACTCATAAGGGTTTATTTTTTTCCTTCTATTAAAAAAAAAAAGTCCAGTGGAAGGCAGTCCACAGTTGGCACAGGAGTCCCACTAACATTCTAAACCAGGCCTTTCCTGGGCGCCTGGGTGGCTCAGTTGGTTAGGCGACTGCCTTCGGCTCAGGTCATGATCCTGGAGTCCCTGGATCGAGTCCCGCATCGGGCTCCCTGCTCGGCAGGGAGCCTGCTTCGGCCTCTGCCCCTCCCCCTGTTTGTGGTCCTCTCGCTTGCTCGCTCTCTCAAATAAATTCTTAAAAAAAGAAAAAAAAGAACCATTAAAAAAAACAATCTGGGGGCGCCTGGGTGGCTCAGTTGGTTAAGCGACTGCCTTTGGCTCAGGTCGTGATCCTGGAGTCCCGGGATCGAGTCCCGCATCGGGCTCCCTGCTCGGCGGGGAGCCTGCTTCTCCCTCTGACCCTCCCCCCTCTCATGTGCTCTCTCTCTCTCATTCTCTCTGTCTCAAATAAATAAATAAAATCTAAAAAAAAAATAAAAATAAACCAGGCCTTTCCTTTTATTCTGCTCCACCATCCTTAGCAGGGAACATCGGTCTTAATGCCACTTTGTGGTCTAATGGCTGCAGGAGCTCCGGCTTTCATGGCCCTATTCCAGTTAACAGAAAGGAGGAAAGCGGGGGTTGCAGAAAGGGGTGTTCCAGAAGCCCCACCCAACCCCTGCAAGGGAGGTTGAGAAATGTGACGTCTTGCTCTGTGCCCAGGGTCCCTTTGGTAAAGAAGGAGGATGGGTGTTGGGTGGATGCCCACAAGTCTCTGCTGCATGTGGCCCACCAGGAAGAGTGGCGTGGCAGAGCGGGTCTGGTCCTGTCGGGGTGACCGTGGGCAGGGCAGTGAAGGAGCGGGGTGGAAGGTCTCGCTTCACTCCCCCCAGAGCTGGAAGCCATCCCACAGACAGGAGGGTCAGGAGAAGACTGAGCAAGAGAAGTCTGCACGACAGCATTTCCCTGGGGGGCTTGCAGGGGGCGGGGAGGAGAGCTCGCCTCGGTCATGCACGCGAGTGGCCACCAGGTGGCGTCCCAGGTCCTGATAGCGGTAGCCAGTTTCAGGGACTTTCCTATCAAAATAGACAAAAGGTTAACTTTTTTATTGGGGGCAGAGGCAGGGCTCAGCCTGGGAGGGACAGCAGCAGGGAGGGCGAGCTGCCCTGAGAGCCAGTGGGAAGCTGGGCAGAGGCTCAGAGGGCTGGAGGAGACTGAGCTGGGGGCCCACACACGCTCGGGGGAGCCGAGAGAGGGTCAGGGAACCCCTGGGCAGCCACAGGCTGGCCACCCTAAAGCCTCAGGTAGTACACCCACCGTCTGCGGGGAGCAGAGCTGCATGGGGCCTGAGCCTCATCGCGGGCAGGGCGGGGCCACTGGGAGGCCCAAGGCCATGACTGCTGAAGTTGCAGATAAACCTACCAACTCTGTTTGTTTTGGCAACAGGAATCACCTACCAGCGACTGGTGAGGGCCGAGCAGGGCCTGCCCATTAGAAGTCACCGCAGCTCCACCATGTGAGTGTTCTTGAGGGGGGTTCTCCCATCCCCAAACCCACACCGTCCCCCCTCCCAGCCCCATGCATCTGGTTTTCCCTCCAACACTGTACCCCCCCGCCCCAGCCACCAACAAACAGTCTTCGAGAGGACCAGAACGCCTTGGAATAGTTGGTGATGCTTTGTACATAAGGTGGTTTCTCTGGGCTGAGGGGTTTTCCTCCGAGTTCTAAATGGCTCGGAAACTTAAACAACAAACGTTAAAAACCACCTGCACCGATCAGGCCAGGTCCTGGGCACACATGACCTCACTTTGCCCCCACTTTTCAGATGGGGAAACTGGAGGTCAGAGAGGCCGAGTATTACTTCCCGATGGTCACACAGCTAGTAAGCGTCTGAGCCGGGATTTAAGCCTCAGTCTTACTCAAAAGCCCACGTGCTTTCTACGATGTCTTTCTGCCTGTTACTAAAATAGCATTTTCCAAACTTTTTTCGACAGTAAAAAATGCATGTTATTTTATTTATTTATTTATTTTATGTAATCTCTACGCCCGAGTTCTGTGGGGCTCGAACTCACGACCCTGAGATCAAGAGCGGCATGCTCCACCAACTGAGCCAGCCAGGCACCCCTAAACAATGCATTTTATATGAAAGCCTACGTTCATATACACGCAAACGCACACGCACACGCACGCAGAACTGAAATGAGTTTTAGGTGAACACACGTGCCCAGAAGGCATGCAGGGGGAGGGCATGCGCCTGGCTGGTCGCGTCCTGCACACAGCGGAGCTCAGCACACGTACGTGGAAGGAGTGAGCAAGCACGCGGTGGAGGACAGTGGCTCAGGCAGGGGCGGCTTGTGCAAGCCTGTCCCCTTTTTCTGACAAATAGAGAAATCAACATTAGTTTCCCCCCTATAGGATGGGGACTCTGATAGAGCCCGGTCCCGTCCGGGGGGGCCCTGACCCGGGGCGGCCATCCGCAGAGACGGGACAGGAGGGCCGCCTTCACCTTGCTTCTCTGCACGGAGCCTGGGGGGGCGGGGGACAGTGCAAGCAGCTCACACCAAAGTCTCTACAGCTGGGATATTGTGATGTCTCCAACACGCTTCGAGAAAACACAGAGACGGAGGGGAGGGCCGATGTGGGCGAAGTGAGAACAGTCGTGTGGCTGTTAACTGAGCCATCGACACCTTGGGGGGTTCACGATTCTTTGAACATTTGGGTCTGTCTGAAGTTTTCCATGATGAACAGAATGTCAAGGCTGGCCCAGAGAGGGAGCCCAGGGTCCAGGAGAGGAGAGGCGGGGGAGAGGGGGGGCGGGGAGGCTGGGCACACAGTCCGCTCCCAGCCCCGCACAAGCTAGCTGGGGTGATGGCTTTCGGGAGTTAGAAAAGGGGCCCCCTGTGAGCTGCAGGCTCACAGGCAGCCTTGACGCCTAGCCTGAACTTCCAGGCCAGCCTGCGTGCAGGTATGTGGCCGCCCGGCTCCCTCCCCCCTGCAAAATGAGCCCCTAGCTCCAAGTCACCTCCCTTGAGAGGGCAGTCCTCTTGAGTCCTCCTTCCATCCATTCCGACGTCCTGTAGGAAAAATGCTGATATAAAAATTAAGGTGAAGTTCCTTTTGTAAAAATGAAGTCCCGCTTTCAAAAGGCCCTTTGAAAACACTGGCTGAAAAATACTCAGGAGTAGACCGTAAGCTTTGCACTTGGACCTGGGACCCTTGAGCCAGCCCCCTGCCTCTCCCCTGGCCTCAGCCACCAGGGGGTTGGGGCTCAGCAGCTCCGCCAGGCGCCAGACGTGAGGGGCTGCACTGTCCCCACCCCCCAGAGCCTGCCCTCTGTGTCCCCAGCACCGTGCTGTTGCTGAACCCAGTGGAGGTGCAGGCTGAGTTCCTCGCCGTGGCCAACAAGCTGAGCGCGCCCGGGCACTCGCCCCACAGCGCTTATACTACCCTGCTCCTGCACGCCTTCCAGGCCACCTTCGGGGCCCACTGTGACCTCCCAGGGCTGCACGGCAGGCTGCAGGTACGTGCCTGGGGCCCCGGGGCCTTAGCGTCACCGTGGCTGACGTGGCAGGGCAGTGGCTGGAGGGCTGGCCACACTGAGAGGTTTCGGTGGCACTGGATCCCGACAGAGGTGGGTGGCAGCCTGGGCAGGGGGCTGGGCAGGAGCCTCTGAGGATGGCGTGGGCCGGGCGGCTGGGAACAGGCTGTAGAGGGAAGCTGGAAGACCTGACTTCTAGTCCTAGCTCTGTGGCCCTGGACAGCCCCCTCCCCTGTCTGGGACGTGGCGGGGAGCTGTGAAGGACCCTCCCCCAACTCGGCAGTGCCCTGGCTCTGGGCCTTTCCTGAGAAGAGGGGCCCGGGGAGCCCCACGGTCAGGTGTGGGGGGAGGTGGGTGCCGAGGCAGGGGAGGAGATGGGCCACGGCCGCCATCGGGAAGACCCTAGGAGCTCGAGGAGTCGGGCAGCCGAGCCTTGGTTCGGGGGCGTGAGCCCGTCTCCTCCTGGGCTTTCAGTCCAAGAGCCTGGCCGAGCTCGAAGACATCTTCACGGAGACTGCGGAAGCTCAGGAGCTAGCTTCTGGCATCGGGGACGCAGCCGAGGCCCGGGAGTGGCTCAGGACCAGGCTGCAGGCGGTGGGACAGAAAGCTGGCTTCCCCGGCGTGTTAGGTGAGGCTCTTGGGAGAGCGCGGTGCCTTTTCCCCGGGTGGTGAGCAGTCCAAGTCGGCCGGTGGTTCTGCCCCACACCGCCCGTGGGGGACCCAGGCTCTCCTCATCCGGGTGCTCCCCCACCCCCGAGGGCGGAAAGAGGCTGGCCAGCTTCCCACTCGGCCCCGGCCCCGTCCAGCTGTGTGGCCGGCGCTGGTCTCTTCTGTGAGCCCCTTCCAGCCCTCACCCCCTGTCCCCCTGTTCTAGCAGACACTGCCCAACCTGGCCAGCTCCGCACCATCCCCATCCCTGTCGCCAGGTGTCACACGTACAGCTGGAACCAGGACAGCTTTGGTAAGCAGCTGGCTGGGGCCCTCGTGGCGCCCACCCCGCACCCCCTGGGGTGGGGCGGGGGGGGGGGAGCTGCTTCCTGGTCCTGCCGCCGGCTGCCTGGGCAGGCTCTAAGCAGAGCAGGGGGCGGTGCTCAAGTCCTGGGCTGCACTTCACCTCCTTCTGCCCTCGCCCTCCTCCTCCTCCGGCTGGTCTGAGCCTGTCGCCCCTTCCGAGGGGGTGCAAGAGGGGTTTCAAGGACCCCGATGCCCAGACGGTGCCTCCCCTGGCTTCCCTGCAGACATCCTGCAGGAAATCCTGCTCAAGGAACAAGAGCTGCTCCAGCCAGGGATCCTGGGGGACGATGAGGAGCAGGAGGAGGAGGAGGAAGAGGAGGAAGAGGAGGAGGACTTGGAAACGGACGGGCATTGTGCCCAGAGGGACTCCGTGCTCTCCACCAGCTCGGCGGTCTTCCACGACTCCACCCTGTCCCTCGCCTCGTCCCAGGCCTCGGGGCCCACCCTCTCCCCGCAGCTGCTGACCTCCTTCGTCTCGGGCCTCTCGGACGGCATGGACAGCGGCTACGTGGAGGACAGCGAGGAGAGCTCCTCCGAGTGGCCCAAGAGGCCGGGCGGCCAGGAGCGCCGGGGCCACCGCAGGCCTGGGCAGAAGTTCAACAGGATCTATAAACTCTTCAAGAGCACCAGCCAGCTGGTGCTGCGGAGGGACTCCCGGGGCCTGGAGGGCGGCTCGGGCTCAGGCTCGAGCCTGCCACTGCGGCGGGCCGGGAGCCTCTGCAGCCCCCTGGACGGCCTGCTGCCACCGCCGCCGCCACCGCCGCCCCCCACGCGGGCCCAGCGCTCGCGCTCCCTGCCCCAGCCCAAGCTCAGCGCCCAGCTGCCCAGCTGGCTCCTGGCCCCCGCCTTGCGACACCAACGCCGCCGGCCCTTCCTGAGCGGGGACGAGGACCCCAAGGCGTCCACACTGCGCGTCGTGGTCTTCGGCTCCGATCGGATTTCGGGGAAGGTGGCTCGGGCCTACAGCAACCTGCGGTAGGAGCTGGACCCGGGGGCCTCGCTCTGCCCTGGGGGGGCGGCGGGGCGGGGGGGCTGAGGGTCCGAGAGGGACCACTCCTCTCCTCGCCTTCTTCTTTACCAGGCAGCTAGAGAACAACCGCCCGCTCCTCACACGGGTCTTCAAGCTTCAGTTCTTCTACGTGCCCGTGAAGCGAAGCCAGGGGACCGGCTCCAGCGCCTGCCCCCCCGCTGCCAGCCAGACGCCCCCACCCCCCCCAGACTCCCCGAGGCACCCCAGCCCTGCGGTATGCCCCCAGCCCCGGGCCACATGCAGTGGGGGCGCAGAGTGGGCACCTGCAGGTCCCGTGACCCGACGGGGGCTGGTGAGAGGTTGCCAAGAGCAGTCACCGTGTCTAGGCGACTGCAGTCGCCTTCTCCCGCTTGAGCCTCGCTCTGGGGAGCAGCTCCTGCCCTGCACGTGGGGGCGGCGCTTTGCTGTGTGACACAGACTAAAGATTCGCAGACTTCTCTCAGGGCCGGGAGGAGCTACGGTTGGGGCCGCAGATGCCATCTGGGGCCCCAGATGCCATCTGGGGCCCCGGGGGGCTGGAATGACTCTCACCCCTTGCCCCAGGAGCTGGAGAGCACCAATGACATCTCCCACTACCTCGGCATGCTCGACCCCTGGTACGAGCGCAACGTGCTGGGCCTCATGCACCTGCCCCCCGAAGTCCTGTGCCAGGTGAGTGGCCCCCGGGGGGGCGGGGGGCACCAACTGCAGTCGCACGGCGCTGCTCGGAGGCCCTGGTTTCGGGGGATCCAGCTTGAGGCCTCCAGGGAGGACCGGGGTGAGAAGTGCGACTGAGCCCAAATCGAGGGCAGTGTCACGGCGGGTCCCAGCAGGGTCCGGGGGACCTTAGGCTTCAGCCCCCTTCCTCACTTCCTCCGGCTTTGTCCAGCTCGGCCAGGGCCCTCCCTGGTGGCCCTGGTGTCCGGTGAGGGTGGGCTGTGGGTCGTCCCCCGACCATTGTGTGTCCTGCTTTGATCCCACCACCCCCTTGCCTGGCTTGGTCTGCCTTGTCTCCACACGTGTGTGTGTCCGTGTCTCCTGCCCTCACGTTCCCTTGCTCCCTCGCTCGCTCGCTGGCCACCAGTGCCTCTGACCGGGCTCCGCCGCCCACCCTCAGCAGTCTCTGAAGGCGGAGCCCCGGCCCCTGGACGGCTCCTCGGCCCAGCTGCCCATCCTGGCGGACATGCTCCTGTATTACTGTCGCTTCGCGGCCCGGCCAGTGCTGCTGCAGGTCTATCAGACAGAGGTAAGGACCCCCCCACTGCAGGCACCGCCCCACCCCTGCAGCCAGCAGCCCCGGGGCGGGGGGCCACTCCGGGAGGTCCCCACTGACGCCGGCCCTTGCCCTCTGCAGCTGACTTTCATCACCGGGGAGAAGATGAAAGAGATCTTCATCTACTCCCTGGAGCTGGGTCACTCGGCCACCACGCGTGCCATCAAGGCTTCGGGTGGGTGCTGCCTGAGCCCCGGGGGAGACGGGGCCCGGGAGGTGGCGGCCCCGGGGTCTGGGAGGGGTACCGGAAACGAGAGGGAGTGAAGGTCTGTCCCGTGTGGCCCAGGTCCTGGCAGCAAGCGTCTGGGCATCGATGGTGATCGCGAGGCCATCCCTCTAACACTACAGATTATTTACAGCAAGGTGAGGCTGCTGCTTGGGACCCCTGTCCCTCTGGGGCCCGTTCCTGACCCGTCCTCACCCAGAGTCAGCCCCTCCCGCGCGATGTGCCCGGGCCCCAGTCTTTAAGCTGGGAGGCTGCAGCAGGCTCCCCTGGACAGAGGGGAGGGGGTGAACATCCTTCTCCCCTTGGGCCTCCAAAGCGCCCCCCCCCCCCCGTGTGCTCTCCCCCCACCTGGATGTGCTCAGCAGCTCCCGGGAAGTGTTCGGGCCTGGCTGCTGGGCTGAGGGTGAGGGGTCCAGAGGCACAGTGAGGGAGAGCCCAGCGTCCACGGGGCTGGCGTGCCTGGCTGGGTGCATGGGAGGGGGCCATGTCGGAAGGGAAAGGGGGGATCTGGAGGGCCGGAGTGTGGGAGGGGCGCCCATGAGCCCACCATAGGGAGCGGGTGCTCCGAGCTCTCGTGCCCTCAGATCCATGGACCAGGCCAGCGACCTAACGCTCCTCCCCGGAGTCATCAGGGTCTATAGGGGATCGGGAGTCGGAGGGCTCTTGGTGCAGAAGCGAGCCGGCGAGAGCTTCCCGGCGGGCGCCGACTGCAGGCAGCTCCCTGTGGCTGGTGGGCCCCGGGGGCCTCCGGCTGAGAGGGTCTGGCTGCGTTTCCAGGGGGCCATCAGTGGACGAAGCCGCTGGAGTAACATGGAGAAGGTGTGCACCTCGGTCAATCTCAGCAAGGCCTGCCGGAAGCAGGAGGAGCTAGGTGAGGGGGCGCAGGGGCGCGGCGGGGCGCGGCAGGGCGGCGGGGCCCCGAGCCTGGCCTGAGCCGCCCCTGCCCCTCAGACTCCAGCATGGAGGCCCTGACGCTAAACCTGACAGAGGTGGTGAAAAGACAGAACCCCAAGTCCAAGAAGGGCTTCAACCAGGTAAAGACGCCCCCCTCTCCGCCGTCGTGCCTTCCAGAGACCCTGGCGCGGGTGGGCGCCTGTGTGCGTGCATGCGCGGGTGCGGGTGGGGAGGGGAGGCAGGCTGGGGGTGCGGTTTGGGGTGCACACACTGTGGGGTGCCCTACGGGCGGATGTGTCTGCGTGCAAAGGCTCTGGCGGGCAGCCGGGGGAGCCCTGGGTGCGCGCAGAACGGCTCCGTGTTGGGGACCCCGGGCCTCACAGTGGGGCCGTGGGAACTTCTCCTGGGGGCACTTGTTTCTTCCAGACTCAGGGAGGGTGGAGGCCGGAGAGGAGGCAGGGCCTCGCGGAGGCTGCCGGACCCTCGCCCGAGCTGGCCGTCAGTCCCGCAGAGCTGCTGCCGGGGTGGCCTGAGGCAGAGAGCCGCCGAGGGCTGGCGGTTCTGGGGCCGGGGATCGGGGAGGACTGATGGCGGCCTTGCTTCCAGATTAGCATGTCACAGATCAAAGTGGACAAGGTGCAGATCATCGGCTCCAATGGCTGCCCCTTCGCCGTGTGCCTGGACCAGGATGAGAGGAAGATCCTGCAGAGTGTGGTCCGGTAGGAAGGGGGGCCCAGGGAAGGGGCCCGCCTCTGCGCCGCGTGCTAGAACCCCGGAAGGAGCTGCAGGGATGGAGGGGCCTGCCCTTACTCCGGCCTGCCCCACAGGTGTGAGGTCTCACCTTGCTACAAGCCAGAGAAGAGCAGCCTCCGCTCCCAACCCCAGAGGACCCCGGACCCGCCAGCCCAGGCCCCGCCGGACCTCTGCTCCCTCCTCTGCCTGCCCATCATGACGTTCAGTGGAGCTCTGCCCTAGTGGGGCCCTCACCAGCCTGGACAGGAAGCCCTGGGCAGGCAGCCTCCTGGGAGGCCCTCCCCACACGGTGGCCTCGAGGGTCTCGCTCCCTCTGGGGAACTAGATGGCCCTCTGTTGGATCAGGCCCTGCTATGGGCCCTGCAGTGGACAGTGGGCAGGGGATTGGTGGTTTCTGGGCCCTCGGGCTGTGTTTAGGAAAGACACAGGCATTAGGGAGAGAGCGGCTGGCCACACTGCCCCTCAGATTCCTCACGGTAGAGAGGAGAGGGATGGATGAGCTGACCTCCAGAGGCCCCGGCCACTGGTGTGGTCTAGGATCCTTTCTAGAAAGATCTGAGGCTCTGGTGCTCTGGGGTGTGGTTTAGGCCTCCTCTCCCAATGCTTGGCTGGACCCCCCGCCTTAGTCTGTCAAAATCTTGGGGGGCCCTTTGTATCTGGGGTTCAGTCCCCTCTACTCTGGGGCTCAGGTGGTAGTAACAAGACTAGGAATTTCTTCCCAGACCTTCAGTACCACCCCATCTCTTTCTCTCTCTCTCTCTCTCTCTCTCTCCCCCCCACCCCGTGTCTCACAAGTTCCCTGGGTCTTCTGAAAAACAGCACTAATACTTTACCTGTCTACTCTCAGCCCCTGGAACATATTCTCTCAGGAGCCCCTTTCTGGATCTGAGAGCCTTGGGAGACAGGACAGGCATAGATTCAACAGCTCGGTTACCTTCTAGCTCAGTGACCAGAAGGAAGTGAATTAGCTTCTCCGAGCCTCCACATCCTCAGCACTAAGACCTTCAGGGGTTGAAAAGAAATCATCCGCTAAGCACCTGGCCCAGTGGCTGGCTCATAGCTGGTGCTCAGTACAGATGAGTGGCCTCATCCTTAAGCGCCAGCGCCCCCCCTGCCTGGCACTGGGACACGCTCATGGCCTCTGGGATGCTCTTCATTCACCCTTGAGGCAGAACCTAGACTGAGGGAGTGAGGAGTGGTCAGTTTTACCCTCTGAAGGAGGAATGGCCTTGGCGAGGCTAGGAGGAGGGTTGCACGGGTATCCCCAAGCCCTCGCCGACTTCTCTCCCGGGTTGGGCCCCGTGACTCCCGCTCCCACGTCACGCCTTAGGCTGGTGCACATTGCATATAGAGGCTTCCAGCCCCAAAGTTCACTGGCACCATTCTGGCGTCTGGGCGGGATCCTGGAGGGGTCGAGGGAGAGCCTGGCTGGAGGAAATGGGTCACAGGACGTGAGAGCCAAAAACGTAAAGCTGGCGGGTTGGAGTGGTTTGGAAGCTTGAAGCAAACGTGGGCTAGGGTGGTAGTGGGGGAGGGCAGGGCTGAGGACCAGGATTTGGACGGTACAGGTGGAGAAGGTAGCCATGGAAGATGATCGTATCCTGCTCAGCGCCTCTCCGTCCCCTCCTTCTCCTGCTTCACCCGGCTCCAAAGGTTCTGGGCTTACAGGAGCCCCCGAACCCCAGCCTGGACCACTCACCACTGGAGAGAAGTGAACAGAGCCGGCTCCCACCCTGTGTCACCGTCCCTCCCCTGTCCTCACCATTTGTACTTGCTCCAGGCTCCAGAGAGCGGTCGGCCATATACCTTCCATAGTCTTTTGTTGGGTGAACAGGCTACTACATGATAAACCTATATCCAAGAATAAACGAATAGAATTTAATATTATTTTCAAATAAAACTTGGTTAGTCTCGTATTTCTTGACCCCCAGTTATTTTGCTGCACGATGAGTAACTGCTCGTTGCTTCGTTAACATCAACCAGTGCACACACAGCAGCAGCAGTCAGTTCTTGGGGGTTGTCCTGTTTCTCTCTTTGTGCACGAGAAGGGTAAGCAGAGACATAGGATGCCTCCTAGGGCCTGGGCCTGGAACCGGCACGGTGCCTCTTCTGCCAAAATTCAATTGACCCAAATCAAGGAAGCATATCAACCCATAGATTGAATAAACTTGGCAGATCTCACACAGGATAAAAACAAAATCACACGAGAAGAGGACTTCACTTCTGATAGTCTTCCCAAAATCCCATAGCCCCAGTCTGATCATGAGGAAAATCCCAGACAGATCCAGATTATGGGACATTCTATACGAAGGTCTGACTAGTACTCCACCAGGAAGTCAGTGTCATGAAAAACAAGGAAGGGCTGAGAAACTCAAAAACCAAGGAGACAGGAAACCTGAAAACTAAATGCAATATGGTACTCTACACTGGATCCTGAAACAAAGAGGATATTAATGGAAAAACTGGTGAAATCCCTATAAAGTCTGGAGTTTAGTTTTTTAAACACAAACACACACACACACACACGCACACCTCATTGTAAGACTCCTGGGGGAGAAAAATGTAATGAAAAAATCTTAAAGACAGGGGCGCCTGGGTGGCTCAGTCGTTAAGCGTCTGCCTTCGGCTCAGGTCATGATCCCGGGGTCCTGGGATCGAGTCCCGCATCGGGCTCCCTGTTCCGCAGGAGGCCTGCCTCTCCCTCTCCCATTCCCCCTGCTTGTATTCCCTCTCTCGCTGTGTCTCTCTCTGTCAAATAAATGAATAAAATCTTTAAAAAAAAAAATCTTAAAGACAAAGGAAAAAAATATATAGTTTATCTTCAAAAGATCAACAGTTAAACTGAGAACTCCCTTCTCAATAGAAACATTGGAAGCCAGAAGACAATGAAATGATATCTTTTAAGTGCTGGAAAATTCAATCTAGAATTGTTCAATGATTTTTGTTTTTAATTTTATGCTGCTCACAAGAGACACACTTTAATAACACAGAAAGCCCGAAAACAAAAGGATTGAAAGGGTAACACCATACAAACCTGACCCAAAAAGCTGGCGGTATTACGCTAATATCAGACAAAGACTTTAAGGCAAGAAGCATTAAAAAAAAAAAAAAGGGACATTTGATAAAGATCAAAGAGTCAATCCAACAAAAACATATCACAATCATAAATCTGTATGCATGCAATAACATAACTTTAAAATTGTAAAGCAAAAATTGACAGAATTAACATCTCCACAACCATAATGAAGGACTTTATTACACCTCTCTTAGTAGCTGATAGAACAAATAGACAAAAAATAATAGAGATATAGAGGATCTGGACAACACAATGAACACATTTGATCCCGTTAAAATAGAACACTGCCCAGACACAGAATTCACATTATCTCAAGTACAACTAGAATATCAAATTTCAAATGACTGAAATCAAAGGGAGTATATTCATCTCAATCCTAAAGAAAGTAGAAGAAAGGAAAGAAGTGTAAGAGCAGAAATCTATGAATTAAAAAACCAGTGTACTAGTGGATAAGGCCCTAGCAAACAAATGATCAATATGTGTGGAAAAAAGGACATCTCTACAGATCCTATGTACACTAAAAATATAATGAAAGGATATTATAAATTCACCAATAAATTGGCAATTTGGATAAGATGGAGAAGTTTCTCAGAAGTACAATTTGTGAAAGAAATGGATTTCCTGGATAGGCAAATATATATTCCAGAAAAGGAGACTATTCCTTTCTTAACTAGCCTGGCAGCCAATCTTTCTTTCTGCTGCCCCTGTACTTAGCATATTTCAGGATATCATAGAATTGGAACCATATAGTAACTAGCCTTTTACAGACTGGCTCATCCACTTAGCAATATGTAGTAAATGTTCCTCCTTGTCTTTTCATGGCCTCACGGTTCATTTCTTTTTGTTGCTGAATGATATTCCATTTTATTGATGTGCCCCAGTTTGCTTCTCCACTCGCAGACTGAGGACATCTTGGTTGATACCAGTTTTGGGCAATTATGAATAAAGCTGATATAAACATTCATGTGCTGGTTTTTGTGCAGACATATGTTTTCAGCTCGTTTGAGTAAATACCAAGGAGCACAATTGTTCCATCATATGGTATATTTAGTTAAAAAAAACAAAAAACAAAAAAAACCCGCCAAGCTCTTCCAAAATGTCTGTGCACTTTTTCATTCTTATCAAATGAATGAGAGTCCCTGTGGCTCCACATCCTCATCAGCATTTGGTGGCGTCATGGTTTTTTGGATTTTATCTATTCTAGTGGGTACGTGGTGATGATATCTCATTGTTGTTTTAATTTGCAAGTCCCTAGTAACGACGATGATGACGTTGAGTATCTTTTCATGTGTTTTTCATGTGAATATCTTCTTTGGTGAGGTATCTCTTCAGATCTTTTGCCCATTTTTTAAGTGCGTTGTTTATTTTCTTCTTGTTGAGTTCTAAGAGCTCTTTGTATATTCTGGATACAAGTCTTTTATCAGATACATGTCTGACGTATATTTTCTCCCATTCTGTGGCCTGTCTTTTCATTCTCTTAACAGTGATGCCTTTTTCAGAGCAAATGGTCTTAGTTTTAATGACGTCCAATTTATCGATTTGTTCTCCTCTAACAGCTTGGAGCTTCCTCTGGGGCCCTGGACGCACTGGTCTGTCATCATCCTCAGACCTTTCCCTGAGGTCCCTGACATCCAAGTCATGCCTCCTCCAGTGGATCAGCTCTCCCACAACCCCTGGGGCAGGGAATGTCTACATCCCCTTCAGTCCGCTCAAAGCAGAGGCATCAGAGCTGTTTCCAGCCCCTTAGCAGAGATGTGTGTGGACCCCACCTGTCTGGTGCCTGCCCAGGGCTTCGGACTCTCCTCCCCCACTGTCACACCCACCACCCCCTCCAGCACTGGGATCCAGCCTGTCGCCCTGGGGGTGGCCGGTGGGGGCTTCTCCCTCCTTTCCCATCTCTGAATCCCTCTATTTCCTCAACCCTACCGGTAAAATCAGGGTAAAGGTAGCTGGCTATCCTGGAAGCGGCTGTCCTCCCCATCTCTCTGGGGGCAGAGACAGACAGGTGGCAGACTGTCCCTACCTGGGCCACTTTATTTCTCTCTCTTCCTTGCAGCAAGCACATGTGCGTCCTGGCTCCGACCACAGTCCCCTGTGTCTTGGTTTGCTCAGGCTGCCATCACAGATACCACAGAGTGGGCAGCTTAAACAACAGACATTTATTTCTCACAGTCTGGGGGCTGGGACATCCAAGATCAAGGCGCCGGCAGATTCTGCGTCTGGTGAGACCCCACCTCCTGCTTTGCAGAGGGTCACCTTCTCACTGTGTCTTCGCGTGGTGGAGAGAAGAAGCTCTTCCTCGGACACCGGGGCTCTACCCTCATGATGTCATCTAGACCGAAATCCCTCCCAAAGTCCCCACCTCCTAATTACCATCACACTGGAGGGTCAACATATGAATTTGGAGTGGACCCAAACATTCAGTCCATAACACCCCGCAACTCTGAGTGTGTGGTCGCTGGAAAGGTGGCCGTGGCCACACCAGTCACCTGCACACATGCAGTGCCCGTTGGAGGAATCTCAGAAATTTAGGGCTTGGAAGGCTGAGCCTCCTCGTCACTGCAACCTGACCGGGAAAATCTCCACCGAATGTCAGGCAAGCACAAAATGAGATATTAGCAAACAGCGCTTACTGTCCACGCGCTTTACATACTTCTGTTGTCAGCTTATGCCTCCCAACAGCCCCCTAGGGTGGGTACTATTAGGCCCATTTTACAGATGAGGAAACAGAGACGCTAAGGAACTCGGTCAAGGTCACAGAGACAGCGGAAAGGAGAAGCCAGGATTCAAGCCCACATCGCCGAGTCCCAGAGTCGGGGCCCTTAACCACTAAGCTAGGCTGCTCCCTCAAGCTGCTCAGGTCGGAGTTGGGGAAACTGAAGCCTGGAAAAATAAAGTTCACACAGCTCTCCGAGAGGGCTGACTTCGTTGTCATGGAATTCTGGAGCTCTGATGTTTCAAAATGGAAGCTAGGGTCTTCGCAGACCCCCAGGAATGGGGGTGGGTGGGAAAGGGGGTGGGGTGGGGTGGGGGAGCAGGACGGGGAAGCTGAGGCCGGAGTGGGTTGGCAGGACTCCAGGCAAGCCTGTGCCTTCCACTGGAGGGGGGCGGAGGGGGGTCGCAGTCAGGAAAGAGGCCCTCTGTGGAAGTGTTCCGGGCCCAGGAGCTGGCCCCAGGGGGTCCCCGGAGACCTCTGAAGAAGGGGAAGTGGGAGGGGCGGGAGGGGACAGAGCAGCCCTACCCCACCCCCACCCCTGCACAGAGGCCTCCTCTGAGCAAAATGAGTGGCAATCTCAAGGCCAGAACCAGAACCAGGATTGTCCTCAGGGACCTGAGGAAGCGGGCAAGGGCTTTGCAAAGGCCCTCCCCAATCCCTCTGTGGCAGAGGAGGAAACTGAGACCCAGACAGGAGCAGGGGCCTGCGCAGCTAGAGGGAAGTTACAACAGAGCCCCTATTTGGGGTGTATGTGTGTGCCTGAGTGCGTGTGCGCGTGTGCATGGGGGCCAGGCAGTTGGCATGGATAATGAAGGGCTGGGGTCTTTGAGTTTTCTCAACAATCCTAGTTACCCCCCAGCCCTCTTGACCCCCAGCTTTCTTGCCCTGCCGGCCGGTCCCTATTCCTAGCGGGAATGCGTGTGCAAGAACACAGCGACTGTGCTAGGTCTCTTACACAGAAAGAGGCTCCAGGCCCCTCCACATTCGGGGGCGCGCGCAGAACGGCCCCCCAGCTCTGCTCCTCCAGCCCCCGCCCCGCCTGAGGAGGTGCGGGGACACCAGGCCCCGCCCCCAGGGCAGCCCAGCGCTCTCTCCGCCCCGCCCCCCGCCGCCCCAGAGGAGTCTGGAAAGGTCGACAGGTGCACCGACCAAGAGAATCCTGGGGAGGGAAGGTTTCTTCCCCACCTTGAAGGCAGGTGTGTACGAGGGGGAGCGGGCTGATTTTCTCTGCATCTCGACCCATGTCAGTGTGGTGCTGGGCCGGAAAATACGGACATTTACATTTAAGAAATTGATCCTTAGGTTCTGATCTACCACGCTCTCCAAGTAAACAAAGCACGTGGAAGATGGATTATGTATAATCACCCCAGGCAACAGCGATTATCACTGGATGGAGAGAAAAAAGATACTGGGAAGGCGGGGCCGGGGGGCTCCTTTTCACTCTGTATGCTCCTGTGATGTGTGAGTGGGTTTTTTTTTTTTTTTTTTTTTTTAGGATTTTATTTATTTATTAGAGAGAAAGAGCTCACAAGCACGGGGAGAGGCAGGAAGAGGGAGAAGCAGGCTCCCCGCCGAGCAAGGAGCCCGATGCGGGGCTCGATCCCAGGACCCGGGGATCATGACCTGAGCCGAAGGCAGCCGCCTAACCCACCGAGCCACCCAGGCATCCCGTGAGTGGCTTTTTGTAATGCAAATGTATCTGTGAGTTGCTTAAGTAATGTTCTGAAACACTAAAATTAAAAAAAAAAAAAAGTTGATGTTACAATCAAAACTCCGTCTTTCCTCAAAAATAAGAAGACTGTCTGAAAGAACGAGTGGATGGGTATAGAGCACAAACCTGCTTCCTACAGCGATCCCCCCACTAGTCCTAACTCTGCACGCACACTCACCCCATAGGACAGCATTGCCAGGGATAAGAATGGCCGTTTGCCGACGCTGTATCCTTCCTCCCTCTCCACACCCACAGCAGACACTACTGGAGGCTAACAGGTTCCCAGGTGATAATGATGCTGCTGATCCTGGGGCCCCACTGGGCGGACCACTGCTTTAGAGCATGATGTTATCCTGCTGCCCCCACTTCCCTGGGCCACGGCTCTGAGGGCTGGAGGGAATTCACTAGAAGCAGAGGTGCGCGGCAGGTGCATACCAGCCATGTCCCTGTGGGCGTCTTCCTGGACTGGGGATGGGAGCCGAGGAGGGTGAGCCAGCCTTCTCGCTGACTTGGCCCTGCACGTCCTCCCTGGGGAGCTGCGGGAAGCCCCTGGACCCCCGGGGGCCCCTGGTTCAAGTCCCACCCCCACCACGTAGGTGAGCCATCTTCATAACTGTCCTAGTTCATGAGGCGGTTGTATGCATGAAGTAAGGTGTGTTTCCATCACACCTCTTTTCTGGTCTGCTGACCTCTCACACCTTTCTCACCAACCAGGGAGCCATTTGGTTTTGGGTGTTGTTCATGAGTTTGGGGGTATAAAACTGGAGTCAAGGGTCAAAATGGAGGTATAGTGCTCGGAATGCACTTCTTTTTTAAAGACTTTTCGTTCATTTGAGAGCATGAGCAGGAGGGAAAGGCAGAGGGAGAGGGAGAAGCGGGCTCCCCACTGAGCAGGGAGCCCGATGCGGGGCTGGATCCCAGAATCCTGGGATCATGACCTGGGTCGAAGACAGATGCTTAACTGACCGAGCCACCCAGGCACCCGCTTTGAATGCACTTCTAAGAGGACTTAGCTTTGTTTGTGAAAAAGTCTGGGCGGAAGGAACCAGGAGTGTGTGATTCAGAGTCACCGGGGGGGAGAGAAGACAAAGCAGAAAAACCCCTCCACCCTACCCCAGCCCACCAGTCCAATGGCATGGCATGGACCAAGACTGTCTGGACAATAGAAATGTCCACAGGGGATTTTTATTTATTTATTTATTTTAGTTTTTTTATTTAAATTCAATTTAATTAACATACAATGTGCTATCAGTTCCAGAGGTAGAATTTAGTGAATCATCAGTTGCATGTAACACCCAGTGCTCATTACATCACGTGTCCTCTTTTATGCCCATCCCTGTTACCCTACCCCCCATCCTCCTCCCCTCCAGCCACCCTCAGTTTGTTTCCTATAGTCAAGAGTCTCTTACGGTTTCTGTCCCTCTCTGCTTTCATCTTATTTTATTTTCTCTTCCCTTCCCCTTTGTTCATCCGTTTTGTTTCTTAACTTCCACATATGAATGGCATCAAATGAGCTTTGTCTTTCCCACAGAGGATTTTTAAATTGTTTGCTAAGAGATGTGTACACACTTTTGCCATGTTCGCCCTGTAATCTTCAGTAAGATCTACATTGTTTATTGGGATTTTCTGTGGGTGGATTCCTTAGGAAACTGCCAAGAGCTGATGAAGTCTGCGTTTGCTGCTTGAGCTTCCCGAGATGGTTCCCACAGAAGGTGCAGCTGGAGCGAGGGCACAGGTGACCCTGGGTGTCTGGTATCCAAAGCAAACAATCTTGAGTGATTCCAATGCCCTGGTCCTCCAGGGCGCCCCGATCCCAGCACTGGTCCCCCTGCCACCACCATATCAAGAGGATTTAATGTAAGGTACTTAGAAGTTAAAAATGTAATTTGTCTGAAGCCCTGGGCTACTTAGTAATGGACAGGCAGTGATACATAGTATCTCCCTGAATAGGAGGGGGTCTTTTTGCAACATTGGTGCAGATGGGAAACCTAGCCACCTGGAAAAGAGATTCAACCCTAAGAAAAGCGTCTGGAAAGGCAAGGTTCCCTGGGATCAGTCAAAAGAGCAGTGACTTGGTGATGGTAGAATGCTGCAAGGGACAGGTAGGGGCCCTCTGTCCTTCTTCTCTCCCTCCTCTTCACTCCTCCTTGTTCCTGGCTGCCTATCACGCAGCCCCTCCTTGCAGGGGACAGCTCTGGGGCTGTCCGCTGTCACCAGGCAGCCCATGGCTACCACGCCCAGTACTCGGGCAAAGACGTTAGCTGTTGAAAGAGTGCAGCCACAGGAGGCCCTCATCAGCTTGTGATTTCCGATTCAGTTAGGCCAAAGCTGATAAGGAGAGGGGGCTGCCCACTAGGGCCACACTGGCTGCCTGCTGCTGAGTGCTGGTCTGCAGGGGCGGAGTCCCTGGTCCTTATCCTGCCCTGGACTTACTCATTGCACTCATTCACTCCCCCATCCATCCACCCATCCAGCCATCCATCTATCCATCCATCCATCCATCCATCCATCCATCCATCCATCCATCCATCCATTTGTTGTATTTAATGAGACAAACATTCTATTAACAGCCTCTTACTCTGGGACAGATAGGATAATGAATAAGACCTAGCCTCTGCCTCCCCAGGACTTACTGGGGGAGGGTGGACAGATGAGGCAGAACTCAAAGATACAAGATAGAATATGATTCCAGTCACATGAGGGAGCACAGAAAAGTACATATGGCAGGGAGACTGAACCAAGGAGCAAATGATCTTCTCCTCCTCCCTCGTCCTCCCTCCTCTTTCCTCCTCCTCCTCCCCCCTCCTCTTTTTTCTCCTCCTCCTCCTCCTCCTCTTCTGCAGAACCCATTCAAATCCTGGCAGAAAAAAAGACCACTCACTTCTTTGATTGCAAAGGAGAAACCCAAGCGACAGAAATCCAACTCAAACTGTCTTACTGAAAAAATGTGGGCAAGAGAATGTATTGGATCATGTAGTCAAACAATTAGCCATCAGGGTTTCAGGCGTGGCTGAATCCAGGCGTTCAAACGGCGCTGTCAGCAATCTGTCTCTCTCCAGGACCATTTACCATTAGGCCAAATCAGTTGAGGGCATAGCGACTCTGAGCTTTTCAAAGGTCCAGAAGTGTGTGTTGAAGATTTCCCAAAGTATTGCTTGGCTTCAAAGTGTGAGAAAAAGAAAGACTATGAGGAGCTAGCCAATGGGTCCATATCTTAGAGGTGATCTGCTCCCTGGCTCTGTTCTCTCTTAATTGCCAAGGTCAGCAGATGCTTTTGATGGCCTCCTCACCCCTGTCCTCTCTGCAGTCTTTGACACCACTGACCGCCATGTCCTTGACACCCTCCCCTCCTCCAGCTTGCACGGCACCCCGCTGTCCTCCAGCCTCTCTCACTTGTGTTTTCGCTCTTCTCTGCTGGAGCCGAGAGGTCTGGAGGGGACTCCACAGCATATACTCCAGCCTGGAGCTCAGGGGCCGCCCAGACCACTACAGAGCTGCAGGTGTCCAAGACCCCCGGGAGGGGTCACAGTGACAGGATGAAGCCTGGGCTTGGGGATCAAGGAACCACCAGCTCGAGACGGGCCTTGCCAGTCACACCAAGGAGTCTGGCCGTTCTCCTAAAGATAACAGGGAGCCACTGAGGGCTGTACTGGGAGCATAAGGTGATCAGATTTGTGTTTCAGCACCAGAGAGAGCCCTTTGGCTGGGAGGTGGAGGCAGGATCAGGCTTCTACGGCCATTCAGGAGGAGGACAATGGTGGCCTGATGAAGGGGTAACAGCTGTGGGGGTGGAAAAAGGGGACGATTTGCTACATGGGACTTGGTTCCATTTAGATGGAACAGTTGAGGGAGAGCGAGGTGTTGAGGATGACACTCAAGTTTCTGAATCTGAGATGAGGAGCAGAGAGGCGGGTTTGCAGGGGGTGGGGGAAGAGAGCTTGGTTTTTTTCGCATTGAGCTGGAAGTGCTGGATGATCCTCTGGCTCACAGTGTCTGGGGCAGGGACAGTGCGGTTGGTGTGTCTGGAGCTTGGGAGAGAGGTCTGGGCTCCGGGCATCACAGCCCAGTCAGCACCAGGGGGGGACTCTATGGAGGTGCCCCCTCCAAAGAAAGAACCTCCAGTGCCCATGAGTGACCGCAGAGCTTCTGTAGAAAGCAGCCTCACTGCAGGATGTATTCTGGGAGGAGCTTTCAAGGCCACGGGGAAGGGGAAGGAAGAGGAGGGGACAGAGCCGGGCCTGGGCGACACAGGGCCTTTCTCTGCAGATCTGGAGGCTGTCGTGGAGACTAAAAACATCGGGGTCTCTGGTGTGGGCAGCATCCCTGGGCAGGACTGTGGGGAGCCAGTCAGCAGAAAGACTTAGGGGAACCGAGTTCCTCCTGAACCACGGTAGGTGCTGGCTGGGGTAAGGTGTCCAGGGAGGAAGTCGGGGAGGCAGATCCTAGCAGAGCAGATGGAGGGGCCTGGAGGAGGGATTCTGGCAGGGAGCCCTCGAGGGGCTGAGATGCCCCCGGCGCTTATGTACAAAAGCCTTTCGGAGAAGGGTTACCGAGATATGTGGCCGCTAGGAGCACTGTGCCAAGTTAAGATCATTTAACTCATTTTCACAAGAACTAGGGACACAGGATCCATGAGAGGACCTCTCCTTTCTTCCCCGAATCCTGTAAGTGCCAATAATAATATAACCGATTACACACGCCCGGCGCGGCAGAGTATACTCTCCGTCCCGCGGGCTCTCCCGAGCAATCGGAGGTGGGCTGGATGCGTGTTTTCGTGCCCGTTTTATAGCTCAGAGAGATGAGGCAAGCTGCCAAGGATTGCAGGGCAGGTAAGCAAGGCGCCGGACTCAGATCAGTCTTCTGGTCCCGCCCGCACCCCTTCTGGGACATCCTCTGTCCATCCCTCTTCCCGGGGTGGCAGGTGACCATCATGCTGGGCTGGCCGCTTCTCTCCACATGCACAATCAAGCAGGAGCCCGAGGCCACGCAAGGCCAGGTCTCCGTGCTCGAGCTGGTGTGGCGTTGAGATGCGGTGTGAGTGACCGACAGAAAGTAAAGGGCATGAGGGTCCTCGGTGAGGGCAGGCAGGTACGCAGGTGACCTTGGGGTGTGGGATCTGGTGGGGGCATCTCTGCAGGAGGCGGCATGTGAGCCTTGAGGGGCTGGGAGGGTCTGTGTGCAGAGACAGCAAGCGTCCCAGTGGGGAGCAAGGTGTGCAAACCCCCAGAGCAGGAGAGTGGGTGCGGAGGAGGAGATTATGGGAAAGCACAGCTCTTGACTCCGTTTGGCTGCTGAAGCTGGAGCCCGTAGAGGGCTTGCAGGCGTGAGCCCGCTCTGCGCCTTCCCTTCCTCTAAGAGGTTCGTGAGCATCCTCCTGTTTAGTCCTGGCAGTAATCCTACGAGGTAGGTGCTATTATTAGCCCTCCTTTAAAGATCAGGAAGCTGAGGCACAAAGGTTCTAAGCAACTAGCCCAAGATGTCGCAGCAACAGAGAAGATTAGAACCCAGGCAATCCAGCACCAAATGCCATCAGCCCAGCCACTTTGCCACACAGCCCCGCCCCACGACCCACTCCTTGGCTGACGTGGTGGCTGTGAATCTGGTCCCCCATGAGATTCCTCCCTGCGCACCCCTGCCCCCCACCCCCCAGCCCCCGCAGAACAATGCTCTCCTTCCCCCACCCCTCACCGCCCAGACTGGCCTCCCTCACATCCAGGTGTTTCCTCCCCGGCCAGGGGCAGACACAGCAGGGGAAACAGGCCTGCCCCATCCCCAGGGGACAGCTGGGAGCAGGGCCCCCGCGTCCCCGGTGCCTCGGGAATCTAGAAAGCCCAAGTGGGCCTCATGGGATGAGGGTTGAGGGTTGAGGACTCCAAGCTCTGCATTTCTACTGTGAGTCCGATACTCACATACTCTGGCAAGTATGACTTTCTCCACGGAGGCAAAGTTCAGAGTACTGGAAATAGCATCTGTCCCCAAAACTCAGGGGGTTCTGAGGCAGCAGTGGTGGGAGGAGGAGGAAGTGGGTTTGGTGGCAGGGAATTCCCTTTTCCCTGTGCCAGAGTCGGGGGCGGACGACAGGTGGGCCGTAGAGCTACCATCTTGGGAAACTCTGTGTCTTCGTTCCCGGATTGTAGGCCTGGAGGGCTGGCCGCAGGGAGGGTGCGTGGTGGGTTCTGTGTAAAGAGCCTGGCCTAGAAGCCAGCAATGGGGGGGGGGGGGTTGGGGTGCCAGGGTGGGCAAGGGATCTTCAGAAGCCAGGGTCTTCATTGCTGGAACACTGGCCCCGAGCCAGGCCTCCCCAGATCCCCCTCTGGACCCTGCTTCCTTGAGTCCTTCCTGTAGCTAGACGTCTTCCCCCACCTCGTCTTGCACCAGCCGTGGGCTGGGAACAGCAGTAGGGAACGGGCTCCCATTGGCTTCTTCCTGCTGCGTCCCCTACAGCCACCACTGTGGTTCTGTGGGGGTCCCGGGCCGTGTTTCACCCCAAGGCAGTGACCAGCTGGTGTTTGCACCTGCTCTGAGGACCGTTTATTGTGAATGTTCTATATTTAAGGAATAATACCCTCCGAATCCCAAGTCACTCATTCATCCTTTGTCTCTGATCTTGTCCCTACGTCAAGAATTGTGAAGCGCCTGGGCGCCTGGGTGGCTCATGGGCGCCTGGGTGGCTCAGTTGGTTAAGCGACTGCCTTCGGCTCAGGTCATGATCCTGGAGTCCGGGGATCGAGTCCCGCATCGGGCTCCCTGCTCGGCAGGGAGTCTGCTTCTCCCTCTGACCCTCCCCCCTCTCATGCTCTCTCTATCTCATTCTCTCTCTCAAATAAATAAATAAAATCTTTAAAAAAAAAAAAAAAAGAATTGTGAAGCGCCTAAGATCTTCCCCTCCTGGTAACTATTCGATTAGCCCGCCACAGTTTCGCCGGCAGAAAACCTAAGAGTCTAGAGTCCAAGACGAAGGACTTGATGACTCAGGGCGTGACAAGCATGTGAGCATCAGGCTGGAGTGTCTCGGGCAGATCTGGCCCCACTCATTCCCGTGCCTTTGCAGGTTTCCACCCAGAGCTCACCTCCTCAGTGAGACCTCCCTGAGCAACCTCTTAGAAACCTCACCCCCAGCTCTGGAGCCTCACATTCCCCTGCCCGGCCTCGTCCTTGCAGCGCTGACCGTCAGCTAATAATACGACTTAATTCCTGAGTCTATTGTCCATCCCCTGCGTGCTCACTAAACACCCTGTAGAGCGAAGCCTTTATGAGAGCAGGTGTTTTTGTCTGTTTTAAATTATGCCATTTCCCCAGGACCTGGAATGGTGTCTCACATCTAGAAGGGGCTGAATGAAGGAATGAGTGAGTGAATCCATCCATTTCTTGGGTCCCCCACTGAAGGCCTGGTTTTCCTACCCGCGTCTGTAGGACGGCGTCTGGCACACAGCAGGGCTCAGTAAAGGAGACACTGAATGAACACTGGGGGGGGGGGCAGGGCAGGGTGAGAGGCGGCCCACGGGGACTGGGGGGCTTCTCCCTGGTGGTGGGGGTTCACCCCGGGCTGCTTTCCCTGCTGCCGACCAGCTGCTGAGAATCTTCCTGACTGGTGGCAGAGGCTGGTGTGTTCCTTTCCTGTGCTGTCTCGTTCTTGCGGTGACTGGGGAGCTGGGAGAGGGCGGGAGCACGTGAGTGGAGCCCTGCAGAGCCCTGCGGTGCCCTTTCCTTGGGCAGTGGCACAAAAGCCACACCAGGACATTGCAGCCTGGCTTGTCCCAGGTGCGGTCTGACCCGGACCCCCATCCCCAGGTGGCAGAGCACGATGTCCATCTCACCGTTGTGCCTGGGTCCCCTTCCCATGGGATGGTCGTCTCCTTCGCCAGCATTCTGAGCATCAACATAATCTTCATGTCATGTGCCATTTGTCCAACCAGCCACGCCCCACAGTCTTGTTTCTGCTCCCTAGCCTGAGAGCGGTTGGGAACAGTGACCCTGTTCTGTCTTCCTACGAGTGCCTGGTGGTCGTTCATTCAATGGTATTTATCGGGGTCCTTCTATTGGTATAAGCAGCGTCAGGTAATGGGGAGCCAGCAGTGAATAAACAGAGTCCCGCCCTCATGGAACATTCTAGCAGAGGCAACCAGTCCATCCACAAATGGGACTCCATACACGGTGCCTAGAGAAGTGGAGAGGCACCCCGTGGGTGTTTGTTGACTGACTCGCATGGGCACCAATGTGGGACTCGATCCCAGGACCCGGGGATCATGACCTGAGCCAAAAGCAGTTGCTTAACCAACTGAGCCACCCAGGTGCCCTCTTTTTTTTTTTAAGATTTATTTATTTATTTGAGAGAGAGAACGAGAGCAGGGGGAAGGGCAGAGGGAGAGGAGAGAGAATCCCAAGCAGACTCCCTGCTGAATGTGGAGCCCGACGTGGGGCTCGATCCCACAACCCATGAGATTATGACCTGCGCTGAAACCAAGAGTCAGATGCTTAACCAGCTGAGCCACCCAGGTGCCCCCACAAAAGCCATTCTTTATTGGCTGCTCTTAGAGCATCAGGACTAGAGACACAGCATAGCTCATGTCTGCCTCCAGGGGTCCTGCCGGGGCATGAATGATGCCCCGGACAAGCTCCTGGGCACCAGGGAACAGCTGTGCCTCTGGCCCTCCCCACGGGCTGGGCATGCCTGCAGGCTGTTGCCATGCAGAACGGTGGGCCCTGTCTTGCCAGATCTCCCAGTTATTCCTTTCATGTAAAAGCTGGGCATCTGGATTTTTATGTGAAATACGACTTTTTAAGAGTTGGCTGCAGATTCAGATCTGCTCTCGCTTCTTCTGGGATGGGGGTGGGGGGCGATGGCCCAGACGAGGGGTGAGGATGCTGGCTTTTCACTGTAGAGCAGTTTGAACCTTTTCGATTTACCATTGGTGTGGTTGTTCTTCCCAAGGTGAGTTTTATCAATCTACTAGGCAGAGTGTGCCACTGGGGCCCCGGTGTGAATCTGAAATGGGTTCTTTGTCAGGCATGTTGTGCACATGGGTCCGTGAGAGTGTCAGTGTGCTGATCCCGGGCCAGAGCGAGGCAGCTGGGGCCGCACTGCCATCCTTAAGAAGTCCTTAAAAAGTCAGGGCCCCCAGTTTGAAGGACAAGGACCGCGTCTCCCTCATTCATGTCTGAACTCCCACGGCCTTGCCCAATTTTGGCCGCCTGGATTGGCCCGTGTTCCATAGATGCTCTTTGATTGCTCAGCAATGTCAGTCACTCCGAACACTGCCAGGAACTAAGAAGAGAGCCGCGGGGCCTCTGAGCTGCCCAACTAGAGGTTCCACGTCTGTGGATGGAAGCTTCCCGCTCTTTTCCTGGATCTGTTTTCCTCAGGCTTTGTTTTTGTATTTTACCTACAAG